TCCTTCTTTGTCCTTCAAAACCTCTTTAGGAACAAATGATGAAGAAGAACATGGATTTCAGGGAGTTTGGAAAGCCTTCCTGAAGTTGCTGATCACACCTGCAGCTCCTCAAGCGCCGTTTCCCAGCTCCACCTGCGTGCACAGACACGGAGCTGGGGGGGTTGCCCCAGGATGCTGAGGGAGGAGATGAATTCTCTTCCCTGGCAGGGTGGGCAGGCCCTGGCACAGGTGCCCAGAGCAGCTGTGGCTGCCCCTGGATCCCTGGCAGTGTCCAAGGCCAGGTTGGACACTGGGGCTTGGAGCAAACTGGGATGGTGGAAGGTGTTCCTGCCCATGTCCCACCCCAGGGGTGGCATGGATGGGCTGTAAGGTCCCTTCCAGCCCAGCCCAGTCCATGATCCCATGGTCTCCCCAAGGGAAGGAGTGGATGTACCCATCCCACTGGCATGTGGTTGTGCTGGCCCTACAGCACACACTGTCTGGATCTTCTGTTAATGAAAATCTTGGAGAGCAGGGATGGTCCCAGTGCTGAAAGGCAGCCTGGAGGTTTCCTAAAATCCCAGAGATGGATGGAGGGGAGGCAGGCTCAAGCTGGCACAGCCATGAAACTTTAAATCTAACAAGAGGAAGAAAAATAAACACTGGGAAAGATCTTTCAGTGAATAGAATTTCCAATAAAGCTTTTTAATTTTTCTGCTTGTTTTCCAGCTGAAAAACCTTCCTATTATGCCTGGCTGTTCCAGGAAGTGCAGCAGCACAAGGGGACCCAAACAGATGAGGCTCTGAGCAGCCATTCCTCTTTGAAACACAGCTCTGTCTAATCCTGCTCCGAGCAACTTCAGGCAGCGTGGTGGGAAAAAAACTGCTGGTTGCTGGCACCTTGCCTAATGTAAGCATTCCTGCTGCTACCCTCAAAAACACTGAGGGATTTTTTTTCAGTGACAAGTTCTGCACAGAGAACTGAAAAACTTCTCTCTGGGTTTCATCACGTTGGAAGAAAAAATTTCACAAGAATCTGATTTTCTGAAATACGAATGGAATTTTAATTTTTGTCCAAGTGCAGCGCAGGTGCTTTAGCATTTGTGTTGCTGTGAGCATTGTCTCAGAAAAGCTATAGAAAGATAAACCAAGTGAGATGAAAGAACCCATCCCAGAAAGAGAGAGCTGTGCATGTGCAGATAGTGTGGAGAGAGGAGAATCAGCATGACCTTTATGGAAGGGCATAAAAGGGATGAGCATCAGGCCTTGGAATTGGTGAACAACCCTGAGCTCAGTGTCCGTCATCGTGATATCTGAATACTTGGGCAGAGGTCAATGATCAAAGCAGGCACGTTCAAGGAGGGAAAAAAAGCCCTGCAAAGTGCAGTAAAAATGCTTGAGTTTGCTGAAGACCAGATTTAAACCTCACTGAACACTTCAGCTTTGGTGCAGACAAAAATGAAGGAACTCAGAATTCCTGTTTGAAAGCTGACATTTGAAACGTGCCTGGAGCCAAAGGAAGGCAACACAAAATCTAGAATTACCCATGCCATTTAGCTCTGATCCATTGTACCTGCCTGAGAACAGCAGCTGCAGGAGGATCCTCTTCCTCCTCCTCTGCACATGGAGCCCAGGATTTCCAGAAGGAAGACTTGGTTCTCCCACAGTTATCACCACAGGCTTCTAGAGCCCATTTGCGGCATCTCAAACACTTTGATCGAAGTGTTTGCATCTCCCAGAACATCTCTGATGGCCTATTTTGGATTTGTTGTCTTCAAAAGTGCAGTAATCCTCTGAGGGTGCAAATCTAAGTTACGGTGAGGGAAGAAAAATCCTCAAGGGAATCTTTTAGGTCACTGGACAGATTTGTAGCCAAGCACTGGCGAACACAGAAATAACTGGAACTGGAAGCTGCTTTGAAGTGCAAGATAGATTGTGAAAATCATATAATCATGGGATATCCAGAGTTGCAAAGCACCCGCAAGCATCACTGATCCAACTCCTGTCCCTGCACAGACACCCTAACAGTCTCACCCTGGGCATCCCTGGGAGTGGTACCCAAACCCCCCTGGAGCTCTGGCAGCCTGGGGCTCTGCCCATTCCCTGCACCCCTCTGGGGGAAGAACCCTTCCCTGAGATCCAACCTTTACTCCTCTGACATTCAACTGCTTGGAGAAAACCCAGAACAGCCTGAACCTGGCTGGACTCGAGGATCCTTGAGGCCTTTCTGAGCCTCAACTATTTGGTGATTCTGCCTCGCACCAACACAAGTCCCAGAAAACCCAAAGGCTGACAGGATTTGGGAAGAGCAGCCCCCCAGGCTTTTTGAATCTTGCTAGGACATTCTTGATGGCAATCTCCAGCCACTATCACTCTTTGTGAGACGCCCTTCTCCTAAAAGGACATGGAGCTGGGGCACGCCTCATTGCCTTCTCCTTCAGCTCCCGCTGACGGACGAGGCTGCCTGTCCTCGCTGTCAGCCATCCCCTCCCAGCCCTGCCAAGGATTCAAGGACCAGCAGGATTAGCTGTCTGCTGAAGGATGCCCAGAGCTCTGGGATGCCCAGAGGCCTGCCTGGGAACTCCTCATTCTGCTCTTGTGGCCAAAGGGCTGCTTTTCAAACGCAGGGCTGTGCTTTAAAGAGATGGTGTAAAATGAAAGAATTTAACAACCACTGAGGCCCTCCCGAGACACAACTGGCAAGTTCCAAACAGAACAGGGTGCTCAGCTCAGAAGACATGGGAGAAGAGGCAGGTCAAAGGAAGGTGATGGGCTCGTGCAGAGGTAAAAACACTGTAAAAGGAGCGGCTGGCACTTTGGAGAGTGTCCAGGGCAGCAAACCGAGCTGGGAAGGGGCTGGAGCCCCAGGAGAGGCTGAGGGAGCTGGGAAGGGGCTCAGCCTGGAGCAAAGGAGGCTCAGGGGGACCCTGTGGCTCTGCACAGCTCCTGACAGGAGGGGACAGCCGGGGGGGTCGGGCTCTGCTCCAGGGAACAGGGACAGGAGGAGAGGGAACGGCCTCAGGCTGGGCCAGGGCAGGCTCAGGGTGGATATTGGGATGAATTTCTTCACAGAAACGGCTGTCCAGCCCTGGCACAGCTGCCCAGGGCAGTGGTGGAGTCCTCATCCCAGGAGGGATTTCAAAGATGTGTGGATGTGGCACCTGGGGACAGGGATCAGTGGTGGCCTTGGCAGTGCTGGGGGAACAGCTGGACTCGACGATCCCAGAGGACTTTTCCATCCTAAATGATTCTACACCCTTTAAGGCTGCTGTATGTTACTGAGCTGCTGCTTGCCAACAACTTCCTGCCCTTCTGGAAGCACATTGACCCCATTCCTATGGGAGGGGACAATTTTGTTGAGTTATTGCAAGAGGATTTCAGGTGTGATGCTGCAAGACGAGGAGAAGAGGAAGAGGAAACAGAGGAGGATGAATGATGGACTCTGCAATCAGAACAGGGACATCAGGGACAAGAGACCCAAGTGCAAACCCCCACTGCTCCCTCTGGGTCTGTGCCTTCAGCCCAGGACCACACAGGCTCCAGCTCGAGTGAAAACAATCTCCCCAGGAGAAAGAAAACATACACCTATTAACTGCTCAGAAAGAGATTTTTCAAAGGCTCTCGATATCCAGCCGGTCTTGATTCATATTGACTTCAACAAAATATTCTTGGGCCAATGGTGAATGCTCTGAAAAATTCCCTCTGTAATTTGCCATTGAGGTTTGAAAATAAGTGGTGTAAAAGGGCTTCTTTAAAAGAAAAATAATAAAAAAGAAAAGGACAAATTAAAAATGAAAGGTTGAACTAAAATTTGGCTTCGGGCCATAAACTAGGGGGAAACTAACAGCAAAGATAGTTAAATGACTGGAAAGAGAACACAACAGGAGCTGTTATGAAAAAAAGCTGATGGCTTTTTAAAAAAGGATTTGTATAGATAGCTGGGGAAATAAATTCCGGATGTGATAGAAGTGCAATTGAGAAATTAAATAAATGGAAAATAAGGATGACTAAGTAGTAGTTAACATGCCCCTTCTCAGTTGTATACTATTATCACATCTATTTTTAATGTCTCTTCAGCTGTCTGCAATTGTCATTCTTTTTTCAGAACTTGTTCCAACAGTCTTTGATACTGAATTAGCTGTTTTTTACTCTCCCATGCTTACAACCACATCTTTTTCTTACTCAACACTCCCCTTTTCCCACAATGTTATTCCATTGTCTCCCTTTTTCATCTCTCCTTATGTGTTGACTCCCCAGTTTCTGAGCCCTCCAACCACCCTTGTTCATCTTTCTTTTTCTGGAGCTCTTTTGGTTGAATCCTAGCATGTTTCTTTTCTTCTTTTCTAAAACTGCAAGCATGTTTTATATCATACCTGGCTCCTGTACACATTGTTACCTTTTCAGAAGGGCATTGAACAGCTACAGCAGTGTGGAAATAGTAAGCTAAACTAAGGGAGAAAAAGAAGTTCTTTTTGGCTTTTGCTTTCTGGCTCGTAAAAAAAAAGAACCCAAACATTTAAACTCTCCCCTTTTTCCTTTTATCCTCAAATAACACAAGCTTTCCACAAGCAGCTGAATATTCAAACAACGAGAGGCATCAGAAGTGTTGACCATTCTAGAGCTCAGGATGTGCCCTGAGGAGATGTGATAACAAAGATTTAATAATACTGAAAAAAATACACAAGTTCTGACGTGATCTGTGGGCTGTGGAGTGAACCTGAATTTTTCCTCCTTGTTAACCTTCCAAGTGTGCCTCTTCCTTACCTCAACACCTAATGATGCTCCATATTAACTTGGGGACTCTGATTTATTAAAAAAAAAGGTTCTAAACACATTCCAGGCAGCTGAATTCATCACTGTGATGCCTCAGACGGTTCAGCTCCATCATTACATGCTCACACTTTAATTTCTCTCAATTCCCTTTCCCTTGTGCATTCAGAGCCAAGGCTGTAGCTGAGCTAACAACACTCTTTGGAATGGCATTTTCAAAATTCAGGCTTGGATTCTGATTTGAAACCTACCCTCAGCCGTGCCCGAGATGCCATCAGCTTTGAAGTTGCTTGTGCTTTTCTTCCGGCGGTGCTTCTTTCTGTTGGCGTGGGGGGAAGGAGGGGGGTCCAGTTTGGGGCTGGTGGTACTGGATATGCTGGGGCTGGAGCACACTGAATCTCCCAGGCCCGTGTCTGCAGTCGGGTGGAGGGAAACAAAAAGGGGAGAAGAGATCAAAATGCTGTGAGGTTGAAATGAGCTGATTGTTAGAATTCAAGCTAATAACCCCTGGCTGTTGGCAGATACGTTCTTGAGCTCCTTCAGGAGATTCTCCAAACAATATTGTCTTTTTCAAAAAGGGACCAAAAAACCCCAACTTGGCTGAAGTGCTGATTCAAGTCCTCTTAGATTAACAGGACTCAGCAGCAATTTTAGGAGCAGGCCAGCTGGAATGCACAAAAACAATGGGCAAGCACTTTATTGCTTCCAATTGCTTCTTCCTCCAAAGTTCTTGCCTAGCCTCAAATTAATTTGTGTAACACTTGGGCATTTTAATACATAAACAGGGATAACCCTACATCTTCTGGATGTTCTCTGCTGTCATTAGTATCAGACAGACACCCACTGAAAAGGTGGTGATGGCAATAAAGGTGGGAAAACAAGGTAAGTAATGTGCACCTGGTACAGGTAATAATTGTGTGATAGAGGGTCACTTCCTACCTGCTCCCAAGGAAAATAAATAATCCCACGTTCCTCTGGTCAGTTTCCTGCTTTATGAACTCCAAAAATTTTAAGAACTGGGTCCTTCCACATAGTAAATATTCAAGTAACCTTAATCCAGGATTTCGCCCCAAGGTTGGTAATACGATTTTTGTTTAATTACTGGGTTGGTTTGGATTTTAATTATAAAACTCCACATAAAACCTACACTTAAAGGAAAGTGCTTGCTATTATGGAAAGTGAAGCCATTTCCAGAACCTTGCTTAAATACTATATTGCACCTTAGTGCAGTATCAGGACTGCATTTATGTGTCATATCCTTAAAATCTCCCAGACAGATATTCAGCAAATACATTCCCATGATTGCCTTTTGGGGTTAAATACTTGATGATTGGTTTCAGAATAGCAGACACAGGGAAAAGGAATAAAAATCCTTATTATAAAGCTTGAGTGTAATAACAGGAGTGCATTTAACTTAATATGTCAGAAAAATATCAAGCCAAAGATTATTAAAAAAAATAGCTTTTGAATTTTTTTGCATAGTTAAATTCCCACAGAACTGCCTATTTAACAAAAGCCAACTTATTTTGGTTTCTTTTTCCTCCTAATAAAGTTTATTTACTAATTACCCCCTAAGCACAGTTGTGCTCTAAGTTATTAGTGGGGGATAAATTATGTAGCTAATTGCCTGGCAAGCGAGACCAAAACAAACATTAATCTTTATATTAAGGATTTTTGTTCTTTTCTCTATAACCGCTAGATTGAAACCAGCTCCCAAGAATTTAACCCCAAAAAGGGAACCATGAGAATGTATTTACTCTGTAGCAATGTGGGAGATTTTAAGGATTTGACCCATAACTGGTGCAGGTGGCTCTCCTGGCAGAGTCTGCTGTCTCTTCAGTAGAGGGGAAGGCAATCCCAGGTGAAAATCCAGGTGGGAATTCTCTCAGCCAAGGGGACAGAGATCCCTTTGGATCCATGGTACGGAAAGAAGATGCAAAAGAGTGCCAGGAACACAAAGGCACCAGCACAGATGCAATGGGGTTACTGCCAGTCCCAAGTACTGACCTCCAGCTCGACTCTGGAGGTTTCCAATGGTGATACTTAAAAAGAAGGAAAAAAAACCCGAGGTTGCCCATAGAAACTGTGGTTGCCTCATCGCTGGGGGTGCCCAAAGCTGAGCTGGAGAGGGCTTGGAGCAACCTGGGCTAGTACAAGGCGTCCCTCTCTGAGGTGTTAGAACTAAGTGACGTTCAATGTTCCTTCCAACCCAAACCTTTCTGGTATTCTTTGATTCAAAATGCTTCACTTTCCCCCCGTCGTTCCCAGCTTTCACTTTTGAAATCATTAAACCCATCCGAGTTCACCCCTCCTGCACCCGCAGCATCAACCACCACACCCTGCACCCATCAAACGGTGAAAAAACCCCACAATCCTGAGGCAACGCCACAGAACGCATCCCGTTAAAAACCATCAGGCTGGATCCACACACTGGTGGCAGCTCTGTCCAATTTCCAGGCCGTAAATCCCCCCAACAAAACCTGCTCGAGAGCTCTGAAAAATGAGGGACGTACGGGGTTGATGCCTGGTGTCGGAGAGCTGAAGAATTAACCTCCCGTGGTAAATCCTCGTCATCCACAGCCCCTTCCAGGTAATAACCTGCTGTCCTTGGGTCAAACTGCTCTCAAGTGGGAGCCTGGAGCTCTCCCTCCCCCTCAACCAGCAAGGAAAGGTTGGTGCCTCATAAACACAGCCGAGCCGGCATCGCCGGTGCGTTGCTGGCCCGGATTCCCGCGTTCCGAGCCCACCTTTGGAAGATGGGAGTTATTTAACATTCCCCTGCTTTAAAATATGAGCAATCAAAAGGCGCCGGGCTTCCACGCTGTGCTCTCCCATTTCCCACTCCTTCCCTTGCCTGACAAGGTATTCTTCAAATTGAAAAGAGGGCTCCTGAAAGCTCGGGCTTGGGGAAACTGTAAATGAGTTCAGGCTTCAGCCCGCTGAATGCAATTTCATCCTCCTGACTGAATACAAATAATGCATTTTATTTGGTATCAATTACCATGCCTGAGAACAGACGACCACTGCCGGCACTATTAAATATATATATTAAAAAAAAAAAAAAAAAAAAAAAAAAAAAAAAAAAAAAAAAAAAAAAAAAAAAAAAAAAAAAAAAAAAAAAAAAAAGGAGGGGGGAAAAAAAAGGCAAGGAAAAAGGCATGGCAAATTAAAAAAGCAAGCGCCTCATTACTCCCCATCTCAACCAGCTTTGACAGAGGCACTGGAACTCATAAGCAGCGTTCCACTGGGCTGGGATGGGCTGTTTGCCAGCCATCCCGCACGTTCAATGTCAGCCATTAGTTCTTCCCAATCGGGCATCAATGTTCAACACACACCCGAAAAAATATATAATACTGGTAATAATAATAACAATCTGCAGCCTCTCTGAGCTTCAATACTTGAAGTATGAGTCAAAGCAGCAGTTTCACTTTTCACTCGGGAAGCTGACAAGCATGACTAGAGGGGGAATAAAATAACATTCAGTTCGCATAAATATCAAGCGGGCTGCTTGAGACTGATGGGCCAGGAATGTATTCTTAGCCATCATTCTGGCAGACAGGCCCAAGGACACTCATAACTTATTTTACAATCATTTAGTTTCAGCTCAAGTGGAAAACGTGACAACTTATCTCTGCTGACAAGATGCCATATCGAACCTTACAATTAACTCTCCCCCGATTATCTGCCCAGCCCATCATTAGCTCTGCGACTCTTGATGGACTGCACGGGCACAGCTTCTCCTGATGATGGTCATCATTTGCAGGGTGCAGAGCTCCATTACACGACGCCGAGGACAAAACTCTCCCCTTGCCATGTAGCTGGGGTTGTTCTGACCGGCGCAGCCTTGTTTTTGCAACTGTTTTGGAAGTGATGAGCAGCAAACCCTGCTGGAAAATGTCTTCTCCCCCAAAATGGAATTCCCTCGTGTTTCAGCCCATGCCTGCTGCTGCTGCAGCCTCCAGGAGTGAGCCAGAGACGCCCACGCTCTGTCCCAGCTCCCCCTGCCCTCCATTCCTCCCCAGTCCCATTATGAATTCCTTCAGGTGGAAGGGAGAGCTGACACAGCCACATCACGGAATTATTTAGCTTGGAAGGGATCTTAAACACCAAGTCCTGCCATGGGACACCTTTCTCTATCCCAGTTTGCTCCAAGCCCTGTCCAGCCTGGCCTTGGACACTTCCAGGGCTGTGGCAGCACTGTGTAAGGATGTGCAGTATCTCACTCCATTTCCAAAAGCAGCAAGTAAAACTTGGTGACCAAACATCCTCGAGTTATGCAGAGATAGGACATAAAAACCCCACCCCTCTGCTCTTCACATGGTGATTTTTCTCTACAGGTGCAGGACATGTGGATTAAGACAGAGACTGTTCTGCTTGTGCAAGTCTAGCCCTCATTGGCGGGAATTTACCAAACAAAACAAAAAACCCAATGCAGCTTTTACTCCACAAGGCGAGTGTCATGTCTGCCTCCCTCCAAGATCCATTTTGCAATTATGGTCATGAGAGAAATTCCTTTCAAGTATGACAAACTGAGGTAGAAGAAAGGAGGGGTGGAACAGAAGAAACACTTTGTCTACAACTACAACCCAGAGTCAAGAGACAGAACATTAAATTAAATCCAATCCTCAGAAGAGTCTCAAGAGCTGTGCTGTTGTACTGGGCTTTATTTGCTGTTTGAAACAATTTCATATCCTCTCCCAGTGTTACAAATATTTTGTAAAAGGTAACAATTCCCACTTCCTATCTTTTCTATTATTTTGCTATTTGGAAGCTGCATATGCTCAACAAATAGATCTCAAAGACAACTCCAGTTGTGCCCTCTAAGGACTTGGTGAGTCCTCCTGGATTTGAACAGGGTGGAAAATTAACAGAATCATCACTGAATTGTGGGACTGGAAGTGACCCAATAGATCATCCCATCCCACCCCCTGCCATGGGCAGGGACACCTCCCACTAGCCCAGATTGCTCCAAGCCCCGTCCAGCCTGGCCTTGGACACTGCCAGGGATCCAGGGGCAGCCACAGCTGCTCTGGGCACCCTGTGCCAGGGCCTGCCCACCCTCCTAGGGAACAATTCCTTCCCAATATCCCCATCCATCCCTGTCCTCTGGCAATGGAAGACATTCCTGGTGTCCTGTCCCTCCATGCCTTGTCCCCAGTCCCTCTCCAGCTCTCCTGAAGCCCTTTAGGGCCTGGGAGGGGCTCTGAGCTCTCCCTGGAGCCTTCTCTTCCCCAGATGAGCAGTCCAAACTCTGAGCTGTCCGAAACTCAATCCAAACCCAGACTGTGCTTCCTGGTGCCCCAAGAACAGAAAAACAACTACTTTGGATCCCGAATTCCCAAGCACCCCCACCAAACCTGTCCGAGATATGACTCCTTCAGCACCTGCAGCAGCGGTGCAGGAGATGCCAGCA